CATACATGCACATCCAGGGTTACGCAATACGATTTGGGTTATTCAATTACTCTTCATTTTGGTTATTGTCATGGCATGACTCATGATATCCGCTTCAGTTCTTTTTATCTAACAGGTAACTCTATAATAAATTATTTGGAATCACTGACAAATATTGATTCATTGATTAAAACTGACCATCCTTCAGACTTTATCTTCACGCACATTCTTCAACCCCTCCAGTCGTACATACACTTGGAATCATTAGACTCCAGTTTCCCTGCTATTACGTTTGTGGCCAGTTAGCCCGTAACCTGCCTGTATAACCTGACTTGGTGGGAGGCTTTCGATTGGAGTTAACAGATTGTGAAGAAGTTTNTTGGGCCTATCAACACGAGTAAAGGCGTCACTGTTAACAAAGAAGCACAGTCGAACAGCTTAACATTTTCTGTCCAAAGAGGTAGAAACATAATGAAAAAGGGATGCCAATGTATCAATTGTTAACCTGGAACTGCAATAGACAAACTGATTGGGATTAGGTGCTTTCAGCTGGGGCAACATTTGTGGTAAAATCTTTTCCAAGACTTTCAAACCAACAGAAGTGAAAGGAATCGGGTGAAGTTTGGACGTTCCCTTTTTGGGTACTGGCATGATAGAAGCCACTCTCCAGTAGTCCGTAATGCAATGTTGAGTAAAACACTGGTTCAGTAGGTCGGTGAAAACAGGGGAAAGGGAAACTGCACATTCTTTGAGCACAATAGATGGCAGTCCATCAGAACCACATGCTTTATTAGACTTCAGATTGATGAAAGTTTTGAATACTTCTTTTTGATCAGTAATTAAATTAACAACATTAGGAGCAGAAATGACTGCTTTGAATGGAATAGGGATGTCGGTTTCAGCATTGCTGAATTGGCGATTGAGATCGTCCCCACTGGCATCTAGAAGATTCTCCTTCGTTTCGAGACCGCAGAACTGAAACAACATTTCCATGTATCGTGACAATTCCTGTTTGCCAGCAGTGTATGCACATAAGCGGTGTTTAATCTCTGCAGTTCCGCCTCGATTGATTTCGAATGGTCCCTCACTAAAGAATACTTTTTGACTTTGAAAGCGTGTTCTTTCTTCCGGAATAATCGTTTAGGTGTAGTAGACGAAAAACGGTCTGACCTTCCTTTAAAAGTTTCCCCCGGGCTGCACGTATCATAATAGAACTTCAAATATTCAGTCAGGTTAGCATAAAATATAGAGGGGTCATTATGCGCAAATAAAGAGAAATCTGTCTGATCTAATATATCTATTAGTCTGGTAAGATTTTTGGGTTGACAGTGACGCCGACGAAGACGATGATCACGATGCTGAGTGTATGAATGGTGATTGGATCTGCTGTAGATCGTGGGAGATAGTTTCAGTGATCAGAGGAACGGCGGCGTACGTTAAATAAATTCAGGTCGTTAATGAAACAAACAATCAAGACAAGCCTGGAGTCTGGTCGGAAAGTTAACAACGTTTTGTAGTCCAAGGGTTGTCAAAAACGTGACATCAAACCTATTGAAGTTACCACACGCGATGCAAATGGAGGAGTCTATGTAGTTTAGTAAAGCGGCGGAGAAAATATCTGTGAACTCATTAAAATGATAAGTGGAACAAAAAAGAGAAATGCAAATTTTACCGAAAATAATTTTCCGGTATTTACTGAGGCGTTTAGGTCTGCATTTGTACAGTGAAATACTGATCAAAATGGTAGATTAAATAAGGACTCGTTTGCCTGATTTGTACCAATTGTCATTTATGTATGGAATAACACCACCGCCTCGTTTTTGAACCGGAACGGGTCGGTCAACTCGACAGATGGCAAAATTGTCGATTTCGATCACGTTATCTACAGAGCCAGCTTACCTGAAGCATTACGACTCCAGCCTTTGAATGCTCACGTCTCGTTGTCAGATCTATTAATTCTGTCACATTACCAAGCAGAGAGCGCACATTTCCACTGATGACTGCTGGAATGCTAATGTCTGAAACTCACCGTTTGCGTAGTGCGACCTGCCATCCAGCTTGATGTTTTCTGGGAATTTGTTTGAGATTTCCGTAAGTTCTTCTCTCTCTGTTACGAACCGATCTGCCAAAAAGAAGGTACAATTCAATAGACGGAAATTCGAAGCGGCTTCATGAAAACAGCAGAGTATTTCACAGAATTTAGGATGATCATAATTACACAGCGTTTCTATGGCAACAAAGGACGTGTATCCCAGATATAATCCTGTGAAGAGTGATTTTTTAGTTCTCAGTCCGACGATGTAATGGACCGCGCCGGTCAATCTCAAAGGCCCCGCCGGCTCTAGTCAATCAATCAAGCAATATCAATTATCGAAGAACACTACCCACAAGTAATTGTGAGTTGAATACGAATCCATAAGAAACTGTTTAAGCAGTTACCCAAGTAAGAAATACAGACCATTGATAACCCCGAAAGTAGGGCCACCTCATTTCATGAGTATTCTAAACCTACGATTGATCAGACAGTGTGCATCAGTTTCAAACACAGTTTAACGGCATTTCCAATAGCTTTTCTATTCCGTTCCCATTCTCTACCAACAGGCAAAATTTACCCAAGTTGCGGATCACGATTCGGTTTCTGTTAACCCCATTTCAACAATACCAGTTGAGAACATATCGCCTGTTTGCACAGTTTCCACGCCTGTGAATACGACCACGGCAACCGCAGCAGCTGTATCGGGTGATGTCACCAGTGATCCACGCGATAGGCTGGCGGACACTGAAGTGGAACAAACGGTAGCCGATCAGGACTCTGTTTGGTGGCTCAGTTTATTGCCTTACAAACCTTCTAATTTACCCACCAATTTGGCCGATCGTTTACGCCAACGAAATAGTTTGGTTTTAGCTCGGTGTTCGCCCAGTGCACGGTTGTCAAATAGTTCCTTACCAACTACGCTTCCTCACCTGGTCCATCCGACTCCTCCATCATCAACTCAACCTCCTGGTATCGGTTCACGCCTGGGTGTCCCAATTCATTTAGCGGGTGAATCGCTCCGGTCTCAACCAATGATGATGATGATGATGACACAATCCTTATACGAACAACGGGATCCTCCTGATCAAGCCTATATGACATCATCTGATCAGTTATCCCCACCGGATATGACCACACCTCGAGGTAGCCGTCAAGAGTTACGCTCTGGTCGTCCTTCTCGATATCGACTACCTACCAGACCGTCCAGTCTCTATGTGGACAAACCAGATCCACCGGCCATCCTGATGCCGTCGTTAGCTCATTTATCAGCAATCGGTTGCTCATCCAGCGGGGAGACTGGACTGAGTCGACCGGGAACTTTGTGGGATAGACGAGCCTCAGCTGGTCACATCAACCAATCAGATGGTTCCTCGTCCGGACCAGGGACTAGTCCCAGCCCAAGCGGAGATAGTAACTTTGCAACTGAGGGCCCAACAGATCCACTTTCCATGCTTTCCTCGTATACAAGTACAACTATACCGCCCACAGACCCCATACTGACAAAAACATGGTCCGCCGAGAAAACAGACAGTCCACTGTTGGGACAGTATTGTCGACTGCTCAATTTGCGTACGGTTCAATCAAATCCTACTGGACCAGGCGCTTCAGCAACAAACAGTGACTTGCCAACTCCATCAGCAGAAACACCACTGACTCCAGTCTGACAGTGAAACAGTTTGTTTGCCTAAATTTCATGCGGGTTAGAGAAGTTCCAAAAATGGATAACTCGAAAAGTCTCCTCGGTTCTTCACCTGCTCTTTATGTCTTTCATTCCGCGTTCCAGCTGAGTTTTGCTGACATACAAGCACTGGGAAATCCAAGCAACCAATCATGAGTACTTGATTTCAGGTTACCGATTGCTCATGTTTAAAACGAAAATAAAACAATCTCAAGGGTTTTTTTTCGTTTAATACGATCACAAACTTTCTACCGATGCTTGAGAACAGTTGGCAGGCATGTGCGAGTGCAATCGCGCGTGAATCTCACGCTTATCACCCCGTGGTAGTTTGTCGTGTGCCAGCGATTATGTGAAACTTAGCACAGAAAGTTAATTCTCCCCTTTGTGCTATTCCGAACCTCACATACGCGATGCCTCAAGCTCCGATTTCCAATTTGCATCGTGCTTTTGTGCAAACCATCAGCTGATTGCTCCGTTTTTCTTCTTTTCTTTTATTCACTTGTTTTCTGCCTCCAAATTACAAATCATGGACATACAAATGTGATTTTCGTGCAGTATCCGACTATCCCCGGTCTGAGATGTGAATGAGAGATAGACTTTGGTGGGTTATAAGTTTGCGAATAACAAACTGGATATACCGTTGAACTAATTAAAACAAAACGATTTCGATTATTTCATACGAATGGCAAAATATCATCCAGGGGGAACCGAAACACTTGTGCTTCAAAACAGGACTCCTTCGCCTTTTTCAATCGGGGATCGTTGTGCATTTTTCACCAGCAATTTTCGTGCTTTTTAATCCCCTGTTTACTTTCACCTGCTCTCTCACGCCTCCTTTTGTTCGAGACATTTCCCGTCCTATACTGTTGTCTTTTCAACTCGCAGGCACATTTTCTATTTCATCAAAAACTGCACCCGTCACGTGGTTATCAAAAACCGAACCACGTTTTCCTGTAGTTTACCTACATTCATTGTATTTTTACCCATAGCACGAACACACATTCATTCATACATAGACTCAGTCAAATACACCGAAAAAAAAAACACAATCCAAATTCATCTGTGCAGATACCTCATATTTGATCGGTTTGCGCCGAATTCAGATTTGTCTATATTGTTTGAACATTTGCCATGGGCCACATGTTTATCGTGCAACATCTTGTTTTTGAAAGAAATAAAGAAAACGGAATTAATCTCACTTTGCTTGCCAATCTCCACTGTTTGANCCCCCCCCCCCGCCCCGCCTTTCCCCCAACCCCGGGTGGCGGATATCTGTGGGCCACAATTTGCCATCAGAAAATCAGCGGGGATTAGATTGCACGTATGTAGTACTAAACCGGTTCCAGTTACTTTCTTTGTATATCGGAATCGTCGGTCGACTCATTGTACAACTCCTAGCAACAGCAGCAACAGTCGTGTAATTCCAAAATGTTTTTTGCTCTCTCTCTCTCTCTCTTTTCATCACCAAATCCGTTACACAACAAAAAAAAATCAATCAATCAACCACCCAACCAGTCAGCCAACCAACCAACCAGTCGACATACCAACCAGCCAACCAACAAAGCAACCATCAAACCAGTGAATCCAACAGGTGAATAACTACCAACAACCAACTTGAATACTTGAGTTTTCTTTGAAATAAAAACAATGAGCACTTCTTATTCTTGATTCCGTTTTTTTTAATTATACACATTTTGTGTGATGAACAGCGGACGGGGTGAGGCCCATAGTCACGTAGACCTGCTGTTTAGTGATGGAAACTGGTAACCTAAGCCCCGGGACTTAGAGAAGTGAACTACATAAGGCAAAGCTGACTGCCACTGAAGTTGGGTGGCGGCTGCGGGGTTCGAGTCTCGGATCATAGGGTCTAAAGCACGCTAATGACAATAACTAAGCCACTGCGCCACCAACAACCCAACTGGTGTATTGGTATAGTTGCTTTATCTGATACTGGCGGTAACTGGAAAATCAAGAGACATGATAAAGATATTTCATAGTCTAACGGTGTTTAGATTTGATCCATGATTGTAGCTAATACTAATTACCTTTCCACCCAGAGCGCAATTACTGTCACCATCGATCAGATTGATCTTAGCCGGCGGGTTAGCGAGCTTGCTCTTGAGAGCAAGCTACAGAAAACAACCCAGACGTGGTCAAACCGGCGAGACGAGTAGACATAACTGCACTCTCTTTGAAAGATTCCAGTGGGATTGTTAATGTCCATATTAATTGAAATAAGACACAAAACAAATTCGTAAGATCAGTTGGTTTTACCAAACTGGAGTCCATTGTTTCTTGTCTCCTGGGTTGTTGTTTTTGGCATAAAGATATAACGTTTGTTCCCTGTTCACATTACAAATGCAAAATTCACGTATGAGTTTATGCTCAAAGTTTCTGTGGCTTCAAAAGGATTTATCACTGAAAAGTTTTTTGAAGTAACATGGATTACTGTGTTTGCAAATACCAACTTTCTTGAGCTTTGCTTCATTTGGATCATATGCTCTTTCGTTGGTGGTTTTCAATGCCGCTAGATGAACCATAAACTCGAGGCAGGTTACAGGTACTCTAAAATGAAGATCTATTTAGTCAACGTTTAGAAACGGTCTTCGGATTGTGAGCGTTGCGGAATGTAGAAAAGTATTTCAGTCAATACCTCAGGACAGTGCCTCATTTGAAACGTCCAACGCCTTGCTGTTTGACATTCTTGAATTCATGTCTTGAAGTCGCTTAAATTCGTACAAGTGGCTATTGTTAAAGAGAAAATCAGTGTGGTTCATTTCAACAGCTATCTCGAGTGCTCTGTCTTGTGGCGCCACTCTGATTAGTCGTGAGAAAAAATTGAAATTGTTGAAGCAAACGAGAAATGAATAAAGGACTGTTTCACTGACTATTCCTGAGAGTTTGTGAGTTCAATTGCCGTGGTATAAAAGTTAAAGTTGTGAACCCAGTCACACAAATACCTACTGGTGTGAGTAGTACTATTGCATTTGAAATGCTCATCACAGCAATGAATTCACGGCTACCGCATAACAGCGCACAGTATAGGCAAAATCGCCAAGTATTCACTAAAATTCTCCGCCTGCTTCATAAATCCTGACACAGTTGCGACGATTGACATTTGACACATCTGTAGAGCTTCCTCACTATGAGGTAAGCAATCTTGCATTAACCGTTCACACAAGGTGATCACCGTCGACCTTGTAGCATAGGGTTTTGGAAGTCCCAAGCCGAAGGTTCGCGGTTTGAGTCTTGACAAAAAACACACGCACTGCTGACGAGTCCCAAACAGAACGAAACAGCTGTCTACTACTCTTGATCAAACAAACATTTCCATCGTATTTAAGCCTAATTACTATCTTCGGGTATTTAACAACAGCACGGTATTTTGGTTTGATCTTGCTTTCTTCCGTAAGAAAACAAAATAGTCGGGATCGGGATAATGCGTTTATCATAGAAAAGTAATCGATCACAATTCCCTCAGGGGATGATGGTATTGCGTAAGCTACTGTTTTAGGGACAACACATGATTATGAAGATAACAAATCACGTCTTGGTACTCAACAGAAGATTGTCTGATTACTCGGATGCTAATTATACTTTTTACTTCTCTCTACCCGATCCCGAGGGATGAATTGATGCTTCCTCACCTAATTGACGCGCAGTCTTATGCATCATTAGTTGTTTCAACTATTACATAACAGTATGCGATTGAATGCGATTTTTGTTTATTTTATAAGCATCCGTTCACCTACAATGCGAAGGGGCGTAAAATGACAGACATAATGAGATCATGAATAGATTGCACCTATTTCGAGACGGATTGTGAAAAAAATGTTGAATTAACAGGCTACAAGCAGTGGGCATTCGTACCTGAGCGATTCACAAACAAAGAGACGGTATGAAGATGATGAAGAAGTTCAAAATTAGGCAACGCCGTGCAGAAAAACACACACAGTGATTGACTATTCTGATGTATTTCAAACACAAACCTATTGCCGGTGAACAAGAATATACTGAGTGAACAGGGAATGCTTGAGAATGGTTGACAAAAGTGAGCAATCCCTCATAAAGAGTATGGTTTACAGCTCAAATGATACAACTTTCCGGAATACGGGGTCGGATTCTCGTAGATAAAACTTCTCCTGAATTTATTCTCACATTATCAGCTTTTTCTGATTATCCATACTAAACAGTCCAATATCTACGATAAAAACCATCGGGTTTGCCGATATATTTTACGAAATAATTCGATATCTTTTCCGTGAAGTCAAACTGATCGACGTTTATCATGGTTTGTATCATCTTTGACCTACGGGTATTTAAACACCTGCCGGTCGCTTCAAGGTCATTTGAATGTGGTGACGACGCCCCGGATCACTCGGTGCTTGCGTCTCACTTTTCTCATTGGCGTATTTAGAAGACACCGATCGCTGAAAAAGGAGTAGAGTCCGGTTGACTGTCTGCAAATATGGCTATCTAATTTGTTCCCCTTTATCGAGGGGAACTAATAGCGAATTAGTCAAACACACCAAGCCCAACTATAGTGTTGTGTTAAAGCGCTGGCGACATGAAGTGATCCTGGCCTACGAGATAACGCACACTACGGAGCGATAAGTTATAGTTTTCGGAAAACAGTAACGAAGCAAGCTTCCCAGATGACGTCATCAGTGTGCGTATGTGTCACAACTCCCGAACAACATACCATAGGTCGATTGTACCAGCCCAACAGAAACCGTGCGGCGCAGACAGAAGCTGAACAACACCCAAAATACTAGAAGGCGATTGTCAGGGGCCTGGATGACTAATGAGCTTATTCTGTACATATTATTTAATTCCCCTTATTTACTCCAATAAACGAACTCCTCCTCCTATGGTCTTTTGCTCACGTCTCGGTTACGTGGGATACTGAGTGGAAGTACCAGTGGGATCCAGTGCTTACGAGGCCTCCGTGACTGCTGATCCGGGATTTCCAACTTATGATTCCTG